TTTTTTTTTTTTTTTTTTTTTTTGAGACGGAGTTTCACTCATGTTACCCAGGCTGGAGTGCAATGGCGCGATCTCGGCTCACCGCAGCCTCCGCCTCCTGGGTTCAGGCAATTCTCCTGCTTCAGCCTCCTGAGTAGCTGGGATTACAGGCACGTGCCACCATGCCCAGCTGATTTTTTGTATTTTTAGTCGAGACGGAGTTTCACCATGTTGACCAGGATGGTCTCGATCTCTTGACCTCGTGATCCACCCGCCTCGGGCCTCCCAAAGTGCTGGGATTACAGGCGTGAGCCACCGCGCCTGGCCCAATTTTTTGTATTTTTAGTGGAGACGGGGTTTCACCATGTTGACCAGGATGGTCTCGATCTCTTGACCTCGTGATCCACCCGCCTCGGCTTCCCAAAGTGCTGGGATTACAGGCTTGAGCCACCGCGCCCGGCCAAAAGTCAGGTTTTTTTTAACCTTTGAAAAATTGTACTTTATTAAACCCCTTGATTAGCTATACAGACACATCCTTCTTTGCTTCCTGTTTTTCTCTCCATTCTTAACCCAACTCAGAAAAGGCCAATAAAGTATATTTATTTTAATCAATTTCTTTCAGGTCCCCCAAATCTCTAAGAATAGATGAGTCAAGACTAGAAAATTTTATAGGTATTTGCACCTCAATTTTCCCAGATATCCCAACATAGGCGGAAAAATCATAATCTTGAGAGAGGTGTAAAGTCTAAGTAAAATGGTGTTCCCAGCCATGATATACTCAACAGCTAGAAAAAAAAATAACCTTGACAATTGTGATCACTCTGGAAAGATAATACATCTTCTAGTTCTGCCCTCAGTGAGTCTCAAGTGACCTCATTATGAAAACAATTCATATTTCAGGAATCTAGGCAGAGTTGCATCCTAAACCCTTAGGAGCCAGAAAGTTAATAGCATTTTCTGGAGTTCCTACCACTGCTGAAAAAGGAAAGCCAAGGATGGGATGGCCTAAAGTTCTGGATGCTCTCCTACCCCTTCAGGGCCACTAGCAGCTTTGAGAGAGTAGTCTGGCCAAATCCCTATAAGCAGCACACCTTGAAATGTGAAATGGGTGTAAAGCACATACCAGCCAACAAGGGGCCTGAGTAATGACTGTTCCAGCTGGAACCAACTGCTCATCAATCTTGTGACGTTCTCTGCACACACATCATGTCACATGGCACCAACTGAAAAGTATATTTAAGCTGTTAAACTCAGAGAAGACATGGAAAATATGAAGGGATAGGAGAAAGAACTGAGGTGCAGAAGGAAAAAGGAATGAAATGGAGCAAAAAATAGATTAGAGGGTCCCTTTGAACCTATTCTAGTTCAGAGGGCTGCTTGATTCACAAATTGTTCTAAAAAATTAAATTTTAAAAGTGTACTAGGAGCCAGAAAACTGGATTTTATTTGAAAGTCTGCTACTAATTAACAACAATGTGACTTGGGACAAATTATTAACAACTTTCTGCCTCAAATTTCTTCTATAATGGTCACTTTTTACAAAGTAAATAATTTAAATACAGGATGGAGAAAGACCAGCTAATAAATAAATCTGTCAAAAAGAGGTTTAGGGGTACTTATGTATTAAAAATGAAGTACAGCATTAGTCTTTGTTATGGGGCTAAAAGGGTTTTGAGAGAATTAAATTAATTAATGTATGAAATTGCCTGCCACAGTGCTTGCACAAAGTAGTCAATCAATAAATAGCAACAGTTAAATATTTTAACATACTCACCCACCATATGTTAAAACAATTTAAAGTCTGATAATGTTGTGTTACAGAAAAAATGGAACCACTAGAACACTTATATATTGGTGGTGGTATTAAAAGTTGGACAACCACTTTAGAAAACAATTTGGCCTTATCTAAAAGGTTGATCAGGCATGTACTCCATATCTTACCATGTCCATTTTTAGGTGTATATCCTAAGGAAACTTTATATGTCACACACAAGGATGCATGAAGCAGCACTGCTTATAACAGCAAAACTGGAAGCCAACACATGGTTATTAACAATAGAATCAATAAGTATCTTCTAGTACAGTCATACAATGGAAAGCAATACAGCAGTGAAAACGAGTGAATGACATCAACATTGATAAATCTCAGGAGTATAATATTTGTAGAAAAAATGCAGAAGAAGACATACAGTATTATATCATTTACATACATAAAGTTAAAGATCATGTAAAACTATATCATTAGGAATACATACTTTCAAGGTACCTATAAAGAAAAGTATGAAACCTATAAAGAAAAGTACAAAAATAAAAAAATAGAAAATTCAGGATAGAGGTTAGAGAGAGGGAAAAGCATAAGATAGAGAATACTGAGAGCTTCAAGCTATGCTTGTGCTTCTGTTATCGTTACTCTTTACAACTACACATTTGTTATAAATTTTATATCTATTCAATATATAATAATAAAAAGAACTGAAAAAAATTACAGTGAATTGACCAACCATAGGAAAATACTCTTCCTATCTTATTCAGGAGAATAATTTTCAAAATAATCTTTATGAACTAGTATGTCCAATTTGGGGCACTACATTTTAAAAAAACGTTTTATTGTGAGATTTTAGATTTACAGAGAGTTGCAAAAGTAATACACGGAATTTCTACATACCTTTCACCCATACTTTATCCTTCTATTAGTATCTTACAAACCATAGAACAATTAACAAACTAACAAATTAACCTTGGCATAATACTATTATTATTATCATTATTATTTTGAGATGGAGTCTAGCTCTGTCACCTAGGTTGGAGTGCAGTGGCACGATCTCCACTCACTGTAACTTCTGCCTCCTGGGTTCAAGCGATTCTCCTCTACCTTAGCCTCCCTAGTAGCTGGGATTACAGGTACCCACCACCATGCATAGCTAATTTTTGTATCTTTTTTTTTTTTTTTTTGGGACGGAGTTTCGCTCTTGTTACCCAGGCTGGAGTGCAGTGGCGCTATCTCAGCTCACCGCAGCCTCCGCCTCCTGGGTTCAGGCAATTCTCCTGCCTCAGCCTCCTGAGTAGCTGGGATTACAGGCATGCGCCACCATGCCCAGCTAATTTTTTGCATTTTTAGTAGAGACGGGGTTTCACCGTGCTGACCAGGATGGTCTCGATCTCTTGACCTCGTGATCCACCCGCCTCGGCCTCCCAAAGTGCTGGGATTACAGGCTTGAGCCACCGCGCCCGGCCTTAATTTTTGTATCTTTAGTAGAGATGGGGTTTCACTGTGTTGGCCAGGCTGGTCTCAAACTCTTAACCTTGTGATCCACCCAACTCCCAAAGTGCTGGGATTACAAGCGTAAGCCACCATGTCCAGCCAATAGTATTAATTACAGTATACAATTTAATAGTTTACCATTTTCCCTACAATCATCTTTTTTTGTTCCAGGAACCAACCCAGGATCCCATATTGCATTTAGTTGTTATGTGCCCTTAGTCTCCACCAACCTGTGACTGTTCCTCATTCTTTCCTTGCTTTTTATGACCCTGACACTTTTCAAGGGTACTGGCCAGTTGTTCTGTAGAATATGACTCAACTTGGATTTGTGTGATGTGTCCTATGTATTCTTGGTGGTATGAATCTAGATCACTTGGCTAAGATAGTGTCTGCCAGACTTTCTGCTGTAAACTTACTATGTTTTCCCTTTGTAATTACTAAATACTTGGGGACACAGTCATGACATTTGAAAAAGGATGTTGAAAAACCTAAGAGTAATACAATTGGTGCCAAAGAGAAGTTAAGGAATAGCACTAGCCTCTTTGGACACAGTTGTAGGAACTAAAGCTCTTTCACTTAGGAGAATCCAAAGGTAGAAATAACTCGTCTAACCTTGAGCTGATAGTCTCCAAGTTTCCTAGACTGTAGATGAAATTGCATAACATAGATGACCTGAAACTAGGGGCTGGGAATAGGGTGACCTACTAGCCTACAGTCTTCCAGTTGGCATTATGTTACAAACCAACTTCAAGTTCTCCTAAGCCACAGCTGTGATTCTGTGCTGCCAGCATCCTGCATCCACCTCACTCACTTGTACACAAAAGACTGGTGAATGTATTAAGCATAAAATACTTAATATTTTGTATTGGGGGCAGACTTTAATGACAAGTCTTTGTTTATGTTTATCTCAGTCTGAAAAACCACATAAAATATAGCAAACACAATGAAATATAGAAATGACGTTACTGTGATACCAGCATAGCC